ATAAGCCCAATAATGAATTAACAAACAATGACTTATAAGCCCAATAATGAATTAACAAACAATGACTTATAAGCCCAATAATGAAATAAGAAACAATGGCTTATAAGCCCAATAATGAATTAGGAAACAATGAATTATAAGCCCAATAATGAATTAACAAACAATCACTTATAAGCACAATAATGAAATAAGAAACAATGACTTATAAGCCCAATAATGAATTAACAAACAATGACTTATAAACCCAATAATGAAATAAGAAACAATGACTTCTAAGCCCAATAATGAATTAACAAACAATGAATTATAAGCCCAATAATGAATTAAGAAACAATGACTTCTAAGCCCAATAATGAATTAACAAACAATGAATTATAAGCCCAATAATGAATTAAGAAACAATGACTTCTAAGCCCAATAATGAATTAACAAACAATGAATTATAAGCCCAATAATGAATTAACAAACAATGACATATAAGCACAATAATGAAATAACAAACAATGACATATAAGCACTTTGATATTCATTGTAGAAAACACGTTATTACTTTCGATAGCCTAAGAAGACAGACCGACACACTGTCAAAACATGTAGTACTTTTTGTCCAATAAATATAACACGTGCTTACAAATCACTGTTTGTTAATTTACTAGTGTGTTAGCAAACAATGGACTTCCCTACACAAGTTTTGTAAACTATGTTAGACTTAAGGTGTTTTTTGTCAATCTTTTCTACATCTGTTTTAATGTCTCCATTACACACGTTTTATTTGATGCCTGTATAGGACAAATTAATTGAAACCTGGGGAATGAGCCATAATTTAATCTGACTTTCAATCACGAATATTAGACCTACAGTCTATCAAACTTCCATCACCCCCGCCCCAAAAGATACTTAAGAAACACGTTATACCATGACTAGAGTCATATGACTTTAAATATTTTGAAGTTTTTTACTTCAGTAATGCTCTAAGACTCGCCGTGCGATTGTGTGTACGTCTTATCCTGTTCATACTTATACACTATTGTTGTTCAACCAATAACACACAGTGACCATAGTAGTGTTTACTTCATCCTTAGGACAACAACATCAGAATATCTTATCCTGTTCATAGTTCTCAAATGTTGACGGTCAACCAATAACACACAGTGACCATAGTAGTGTTTACTTCATTTTTAGGACAACAACATCAGAATATCTTATCCTGTTCATAGTTCTCAAATGTTGACGGTCAACCAATAACACACGATGCCTGTTGTTTGTTTGATAAACTTTAGAGACGGCTTGAACGGGAAACGAAGACAACAACATGTCGACATATTTGTTGTGAATTTGTTACTGTAAGAAAGTTTTCGTCGTTATTCATTGTAAGTATTAGTTTCAAAGTGAGTGACTTCTCATCACATGTGGTATGTTTTATATATATATATAGATACACAATGAAACTTTCGGAGCTTTTTTACACTGTTTATAGTTGTCAAATGTTGACGGTCAACCAATAACACACGATGCCTGTTGTTTGTTTGAGAAACTTTAGAGACGGCTTGAACGGGAAACGAAGACAACAACATGTCGACATATTTGTTGTGAATTTGTTACTGTAAGAAAGTTTTCGTCGTTATTCATTGTAAGTATTAGTTTCAAAGTGAGTGACTTCTCATCACATGTGGTATGTTTTATATATATATATAGATACACAATGAAACTTTCGGAGCTTTTTTACACTGTTTATAGTTGTCAAATAATGTCGTTAAACAAAGCCCAGTTAGCACACAATCAATACGGTGCTACTCGTGATATATTTATATATATCTGTTATTAGCACTTACCAAAACATTGTGCGTAAAGTCCACCTCACAGTAAAGTATCACGTGATCTCCAACCGGGTGTGTCAAGTACAACGTACTGTTTGTTACAGGTGGTGTTTTGGTGTGACCTGAAAGATACAAATAAACCAGGTAAAAAAATGTAACCATAGCAACAGTTGCTAAGGTAGTAACATAATATGAACCCTACATCAGTTATTTGCAGTTGTAGTTGTTCAACTAAAAGGTATTGTTTGTTCCGGATGGTGTTTTTGTGTGATCTGAAATATATATATATATCAGTTGAAAAGTTGTAACTATAGCAACAGTTGCCAGTGAAATAACATCTCTAAAAACTTACATCAGTTATCTGTAGTTTTTTGTTGTTTGTCTGGAATTTAGTAGCAAAGAAAACTTAAGCTCAAATTGAGACACGGATAAGTCTCGTGGAAGGTTGTTTTTAACAATCATTTCATGCTGCAGGTTAGTCTGAGCTCACTACTGATGATAAACAAACACGTATACAGAAGCAAACGATAATGTCCAATCGAAATGGCTCGTATCAAAAATAAAAACACTTTTTAAGTGGTTTGTAGAAAATTATTAGGCCAGAAAACAAATGATTACTGCGGATTTGGAAATAGATAAAGTAAACTAGTAAATATTACTGTGTGGTCCTGACGCTGGTAATTGTATAATCCTGTTTTATAGTCCAGTGGGTTAAAAAATGGTAATGTATACAACTGAACAATATTTATGTAATATTCAATAAGAGCTTGGTTTAGAAAGCACGTAAACGTAAAGACCCGGCCGGTAATACACGTAGGTGAATAACGGTAGCTTGCTAATGTTGTTTTTGTGTTGTTGATTTTCGTGCAAAACTCCTCGAGTTATTATTATTTGTAATTATTATTATTTGTAATTAAGTACAAAGCTACACAATGGGCTATCTGTGCTCTGCCCACCACGGGTATCGAAACCCGAATTCTAGCGTTGTAAGTCCGCAGATATACCGCTGTGCCAATGGGGGGGGGCACTTGAAAGAAATATTAATGTGTGAAGATATCCGCTGAGGTAATAAGTAAGCATGTGATGTGTGAAGATATCCGCTGAGGTAATAAGTAAGCATGTGATGTGTGAAGACATCCGCTGAGGTAATAAGTAAGCATGAGGGCCAGAATCTCATGTTGTTGAATATGAGACTAGGAAATACTTACTTCTTATAACTGGAATTATTTTAGGCAGGATTAGGGTAAATTAATCGATGAGACCCTTGTCTCCCCTTTTTGATTAGCTATATTTTTGTGCGCCAGCAATACCAAGTCTGGGGCGCCCTTATAATCGATTCGATTTTATTACCCATCAGGATCTCTACCAGCGCACCCTCGAATTGAAAATCTATAAGGCCTCACACAACAGTGGTAACTAGAGGTCTTAAGAACAATGACCTCCATAACAGTGGTAAGTAGAGGATTGAGGAACAATGATCTTACACAACAGAGGTAACTAAAGGTCTTAGGAACAATGGTCTCCTACAACAGTGGTAAGTAGAGGATTGAGGAACAATGAACTCACACAAAAGAGGTAACTAGAAGTCTTAGGAACAATGACCTCCCACAACAGTGGTAAGTAGAGGATTGAAGAACAATGATCTTACACAAAAGTGGTAAGTAGAGAATTGAGGAACAGCGGGCTCACATAACAGTGGTAAGTAGAAGATTGAGGAACAACGGGCTCACACAACAGAGGTAGCTAGCGGTCTTAGGAACAATGGCCTCACACAATAGTGGTGAATAGAGGATTGAAGAACAATGACCTCACACAATAGTGGTAAGTAGATGATTGAGGAACAATGACCTCCCACAACAGTGGTAAGTAGAGGATTGAGGAACAATGACCTCCCACAACAGTGGTAAGTAGAGGATTGAAGAACAATGACCTCACACAACAGTGGTAAGTAGAGGATTGAGGAACAATGACCTCCACAACAGTGGTAAGTAGAGGATTGAGGAACAATGATCTCACACAACAGTGGTAAGTAGAGGATTGAAGAACAATGACCTCCCACAACAGTGGTAAGTAGAGGATTGAAGAACAATGACCTCCCACAACAGTGGTAAGTAGAGGACTGAGGAACAATGATCTCACACAACAGTGGTAAGTAGAGGATTGAAGAACAATGACCTCCACAACAGTGGTAAGTAGAGGACTGAGGAACAATGATCTCACACAACAGTGGTAAGCAGAGGATTGAGGAACGACGGGCTCACATAACAGCGATAAATAGAAGATTTTAGAAAAAAATAACCTCCCACAACAGCAGTTAATAGACGTTTGAGGAAAAAGACCTCTCACAACAGCACTTAATAGACGTTTGAGGAAAAGACCTCCCACAACAGCAGTTAATAGACGTTTGAGGAAAAAGACCTCTCACAACAGCTGCAATTTGAGGTTAGGAGGAAAATTACTTTCAACAAAAGTGATTAGAAGTGTATCCAAATTCCGATCGTCATTTTGACTTAGAAACTTATAATTTTTGAGTTAATCATATTCGGATAACCCATGTATTCGATATAAAAACTACTTAGAAATACGGATACAAACAACCACGGATAAGTGCTATATCTTCTAGATAACCATCTTTCTGTTTCGAGAAACAGAATCCTTTAGACCTCTTTGTTATCTACTGTTTCTTTAGCCTAGAGTAATCCCAGTAGAAGAACACAAGTTTTATAATAGAATTACAAAAATCGGGAGCTTAAAGAGTCTACCAGTGCTGGTGTAAACCATAGACAGTGTCTTCCCTCAGCTTCAGCCGGCAACGCTTTCACCAGCTAGTTTAAAATCGCTTGAGCTGCTGTTCCCCTGAGTTTATCGACTGATAGTACAGCAGATAAAAGTCAATAGTCAAATAAAGGATTTTACATGACAGAAACCAAACACGAACACGTGTCGTGGAAGAATGTTTTACCCGTAGCTGTGGTGAACATCTACTGATCTGGTATTATCAGTACTTACGTACCTTAAATGTACAGAATTCCAACGTTTAATGTTTCAAAATATCCAAGAGTTTACGTGACTACATACACATAACTATTACACTGCCTCCTAGTGTCCAATTGATGAATCAAGTGTGCTCTAACTGCAAACATAGAGCTTGCCCCCACCCAGTGGCACAGCGGTATGTCTGCGGACTTACAACGCTAGAATCCGGGTTTCGATACCCGTGGTGGGCAGAGCACAGATAGTCCATTGTGTAGCTTTGTGCTTAATTACAAACAACAACGACATATAGCATGATTATTAATAATAGTGGATGAAAAAGCGTAAATGTGACTTTTGTTTCTGGTAGTTTAAATATTTGTCACTGAATTTCAACTTCATACTACACATTGTGTGGAGAAACCTCGAATTCTCATTACAGAACTTTTCATTATGTGCCTTGCAAATTTGTTTTATAATATTGTTAGCCAATTTTACTTTTCTCCTACACAGATTGTGATTGATTTCAAACAAAGGAACACGTCACTCGTAACAATAATCGATGTAAGGGTTAGTGTAAGATTTCAAGGAAAGTAATGCATTGTTGCTCCACAATCAAATGTCGAGGCCCAGCATGGCCAGCTGGTTAGGGCCCCGGCATGGCCAGGTGGTTAGGGAGTTCGACTAGCAATCTATAGGTCGCGGGTTCGAATCCCCGTCTCACCAAACAAAACGTGGTGGCGTTATAATGTGACGGTCAATCCCACTATTCGTTGGTAAAAGAGTAGCCCAAGAGTTGGCGGTGGGTGGTGATGACTAGCTGCTTTCCCTCTAGTCTTACACTGCTAAATTAGGGACGGCTTGGGCAGATAGCCCTCGTGTAGCTTTGCGTGAAATTCAAAACAATCAAATGTCGAAAGGAACAGTTTCGGAAAGTTTTAGATAAAGTGATATCATGTGTAGTTTTTAATAATGATATCATCAGAAAGTTTCAGAGAAATCGATCTCATGTTTCCTGCGATTTTTACAGGCAGCAACAAGCAAGGATAGTTTATAAAATTGTAAAAGTGATTTAGATTATGATAGTTTATAAAATTGTAAAAGTGATTTAGATTATGATAGTTTATAAAATTGTAAAAGTGATTTAGATTACGATAGTTTTTAAAATTGTAAAAGTGATTTAGATTACGATAGTTTATAAAATTGTAAAAGTGATTTAGATTACGATAGTTTATAAAATTGTAAAAGTGATTTAGATTACGATAGTTTATAAAATTGTAAAAGTGATTTAGATTACGATAGTTTATAAAATTGTAAAAGTGATTTAAATTACGATAGTTTATAAAATTGTAAAAGTGATTTAGATTACTATAGTTTATAAAATTGTAAAAGTGATTTAGATTACGATAGTTTATAAAATTGTCAAAGTGATTTAGATTATGTCAGTTTTCCGATAACCTTCTTTTTTAAACTAAGATTATCTAACAAGGAACTAGAATATTATTCTCAGAATCTAAAAATTACACGATTTGCTCTTTCTTATTAGGGTTAGCGCTCTTCATCTTATAAACAAGGTTTTCACAAAAAAAAATGTATTTAATTTTAAAAATAATAGAATAACCAACCATCCATGACCGAGTTTTAGTAAAATACTTTATATACAACCGTTCTACCCTTCCCACCCCCAAATTCAACTGAAGTTTTTGGGCACCTAAGGCAGATGTTTAAAGAGTGAAGGGGGGGGTGAGTTTCCTTATAAGTTTTTTGGGCACCCAAGGCAGATGTTTAAAGAGTGAAGGGGGGTGAGTTTCCTTATAAGTTTTTTGAAAGAACGAAATAGAAGTTTAAATTTCAAGCTATGAACGTTTAATCTTTAATACTGCTCTTCTATTCAACTGTGTGTTTTAGTTATTGTTCTCCGAAAGATAAAACGGTGCCGCTAAGTACAGCGTCAGCTCTGCTCCTTACTCAAGTAAAGGTTCCATCATCACGTTCTGCAGTGCATTGCCGTGGCTAAAAGAAAGGACCAGCAAAACACACACACAAGTAGAATTGCTACTTCAGGCACGCTCTCGGGGGATTCTAAATGTAATCGCTAATATTACGTACAGCCTCGTGCTGTTCTTATGCCAAGGAAAATTGTGAATTG